GCCTAGGATAGCCTCACTTCTCCCCCTCCCCTTGTTAAATAGGATAGCTAATATCTCTTCTTTAGACACCAAACCAATGATAGTTATTTAGGAAAAAAAAATCTCATAACTGAACACCATCCAGCTAATGTAGTGCTAAATCATACAAGTCATATTATTTCCCAGTTGGGGTAGTAGTAGGTGGCTCCTAATGACTTCTCCTTCCTTGAGCCCAGCCCCAGATACACAGGGGGATGTTTGTACTAAGATAAAAGTGGTTGCAGGGCCCTAGCTATAAATAATTTCCTGTAAGTCATCTTGGTCAAGGCTATCTTCAATGCTCCATTCTCTCTCTCATTCTAGAGCCATGGTCGGCAAACTGTGGCTCGTGAGCCACATGTGGCTCTTTGGCCTCTTGAATGTGGCTCTTCCACAGATACCACGGCCTGGGCGAGTCTATTTTGAAGAAGTGGCGTTAGAAGAAGTTTAAGTTTTAAAAAGTTTGGCTCTCAAAAAGTAATTTCTGTCGTTGTACTGTTGACAGTTGGTTCTGTTGACTAATGAGTTTGCTGACCACTGATCTAGAGAATTAGGCCACACCTCATGATCCACCCTGCCCTTTACTCTGTGGGTAGCAAAATGTGTCCCTGGATTGGAGGCTGTAGCTGAGTTAGCTTAGGGTAGAGGAGGCAGTGGCTCCTCAGTGATTTGTCCAAGAATGCAAGCTCCAATTCAGGCGAGGCTTCCCCCATATCAGGGCCCATTGAATTCCTGAGATTACAGAAAGAGGTTCAATAGAGTCTATTCAGTTACTGCTTCTCTAGGCTTTTTGCCTTTCGAATGTTCAGGACATTTTTTTCAGGAGGAGCCCAGCTCTCACATCCTGACGATTGGCTCCAGTGGCAACCAGATACTCCAAAGTACCTGCCAATTTCTGTCTCATCTCAGGTGCATGGTGCCTCAGCCAGGGTGCCTCAGCCAAAGCATCCACCCCTGACATGCTGATTTACTTAGTTGGTAAACTTGTTTTTCTCTGCCCCTCCCTCGCTTGCTGTTGCCCCAAAGTTATAGCTCTTTTAATTGCCCATGGCACAGAGCTCCCTCATTGTGTGGAAAGGCCGTACCCTTTCCGTAGGCAGGATGCCGATGACAAAGGGTGGAAGGTAGTGCCGGTCCACTGTGGCTCATTCCCTGTAAAAGGCAGTTAGTTCTGCTGTGCTGCACGTTGTTACTTATGATTCAAACGTTAAGTCCCCGGAGGATGCCCCAGTTTGTCTGGCAGCTGAAAGTGAGGCTCAGGGTCAGGGATGTTTTTGTACTATTAACTCACATAAATTCCTCTCCACCCCCCACCCCATTTAATAGTCAAAGACTGTTAGGCTGTACTGCTATGTGAGACCAGGGGTTCCAATTTACAAAACAACCCAGGGACCCCTGGTGACTGTTTCCACTGGTATTTGGTAGTAAGCCAGCAATTGTCTCTCATTAGCAGTATACTTCTCCGCTGCTGGAAGCGTTGCCTAGCTAGCTCAGCATCTGAAATACTCTGCCATATTTTTTCTTCTAGGATCTGTTGTCTCACCCCTCTTCCCCAAACTGTCTTGGTAGGAGAGACAGACCTCAAATCTCATCTTTCTGATTTATAGGGCCCAAGGGATAGAGCTGACCAGGCTGTTAGCCTGTAAGTTGGCCAGGGCCAATCATGGAGGCTCCCGTGAATCCATTCAAAGTGGATAACTCAGGATATGGAGTGTATAAGAACTCCAAAAGGGAGCATATACTGACTCAAACCGAAACACCCCAGGAGCTTCTATGGGATGTAGTACACATGTTTCACTGCCTGTCACAGGGTCGTGTACTGCTACACCAGGAAAGCCCTGATGGCACATGTTCATTCCCCCACCCCACCCGGCCCTGCCCCAGGGATGATGTAAAGACCTGTAGTGTCTCTGCCTCTTTTGTTTCGGGAGATCTTTGCAACACCTATAGGGGACCCCAGATCACTGAGGTAGAAGATAGAAAACAAGGATGCATTACCAGTATGATACCATCCAAGGCACTGGAATCTGATCTGCCCTTTTTCCTTTTGCCTCTTCTCACTTAAGTCAAGGGAGCAGCCAACTGTTCTTGAATCAGGCAGAAACAGAAACAGATATATAATATGCAGGCAGGTCCAGCCCCATGAAAGGTGCAGTAGAATATATATATATATATATATATATATATATATATATATATATATATATTCATTCCAGCCTGGGAATAAACTGACACCTGTAGGAGGACAGTGTAAAGCACCAGATCTGGAGCTGTGACTGACCCACATTCAATCATCACTCTACAATGGTCTTTTTCGATTCTTTTTGGATTGGATTTCAATATATATATATTGAGTGGCCACATTATTATGATCTCTAAACACTTAATAATCTGGCCACTCAGTGTGTGTGTGTGCGTGTGTGTGTGTGAATATATATATATAAAATATTTTAGAGGCCCAGTGCATGAATTGTATGTACATGGGTGGGGTCTGGCCATAGGGAGGGGACATGGGCGGTTGGCTGGCCTGCCTACTGGTTGAACTCCTGGTTGAGGGGACAGTTTGCATATTAGCCTTTTATTATATAGGATATATATGGCGTGGCCAGATTATTATGCATTCAGAGGTAAATATATTGCATAATATATATATATATTATGCAATCAAATATATATTGATTTTAGAGAGGGAGGGGTGGAGAGGGAAAGAGAGATAGAAACTTCAATGATGAGAGAGAATAATGGATTGGTTGCCTCCTGCATGCACTGGGGATTAAGCTCGAAACTTGGGCATGTGTCCTGAACAGGAATTGAGCCATGACCTCCTGGGTTATAGATTCATGTTCAACCACTGAGCCCCCCCGCCAGACTGGATTTTTTTGTTTTTTGTTTTGTTAATAAAGCCAATCCTTCCTCATAATATGCTATGTTCTGGGAAGGGGATGGGCCAGTGTATAAAAGAAACCCTTGACAAGCAATTTTTTCTTCTTCTTGGAATGTCCATATAACCCAGTGGAAAAATTCTGGGGTCTTCTGAGAAATAAATGTCTTAAATTTTAAGAGCGTCTCTTTTCTTCTCTCTCTCTCTCTCTCTCTCTCTCTCTCTCTCTCTTTTTAAATATATTTTATTGATTTTTTTACAGAGAGGAAGGGAGAGGAATAGAGAATTAGAAACATCGATGAAAGAGAATCATTGATCAGCTGCCTCCTGCACACCCCCTACTGGAAATGTGCCTGCAACCAATGTACATGCCCCTGACCAGAATCGAACCCGGGACCTTTCAGTCCACAGGCTGACACTCTATCTACTGAGCCAAACTGGTTTCGGCTCTTTTCTTCTCTTGATCTTGTGCAGATTTATGAGGCTTGGAACTTGCCCCCAGCCTGGGAATAAGCTGACACCTGTAAGAGGACACAGAGTAAAGCACCAGATTGGGAGCTGTGACTGTCCCACATTCAACCATCACCCTACAACGGTCTTTTTCCATTATCTTTGGATTGGATTTCCTGTTCCTAAGAACTATTTTAACCGGTTTTTCTGTTCCCTCAGTTTGAAAATATTTTAACTGGCACATCGTGAGGGGTGTCTCTGGGCAGATACAGTCCCCCTGGGAGAGATGGTGGGTCCCTTCTGGCCCCTGAGGGAGTCCATTGCTCTTGTGTGAAGCAGAGGGGTCAGGCTCCACGACCTTGTATCTGCAGAAGTCAGTCATCCATGGGACAGCACCAGGTTTCTGGGAACAGTTGCCCATCCTCTGCTGTACTTCTGTGTAAGACAGACCTTGAGGCCTTCCAGACTCACTTAACTGTCCTGAATGACACAGTTTCTCTCACGGTTGGTACCCAGTGGCCTCATTGATGGGTGAGCAGAGAGATCACCGGTATCAGTGGATTGCGTGGATTTCTAAGCCTACCTTCGGTTTACCAAGGATTGCTAAAGACAAGGCATGGGATTTTCCAAACCGAACATTACAAACTCATGGCCTACATCTGTGCTCACTCTCCTCCCCTCTACAGCAGCAAATTCAAACCTCCTTCACATGCAGCAAATATTCTCACTTGTTTCCAGAAAAAGTTAAAAAAACAACTTCAGGCAGCCGCCACAGCCTACCTCCATGAAAACAAAGACATACCTACCAGCACTTGCTCTAATCCTCAGAAGGATTTCAAAGGAAATGGGGTCCTGCTTGCCCTCCCAGCTTGGGGTGCAGGAGCTGGGCGCCCTGGGCTTTCCCGAGGAAGCCCAACGAAAGGGAGCGGAGAGAAACATTAGCGAACGGGGTAGTGCTACCCAACAGTGAGAACCAGAGCAGCAAGAAACGGGGCCTGCAGCTAAGCCCTGGCGAGGGCTATTGGCAACACACCACAGGATGCCCCGCCCGCCAGCAGTTCACATTGCGTAGGCTGCCCAGCCACCAAGCGAGGCCTCGGGCCAGACAGGAGTGGAACATTGGGGACATCCAAGAGCCTCCCCAAGGGTGCCAGTCTGGGGGCGCAAACACGACCCTCAGAGGCACAAGAGGTGGAAGGCGGGCTGCTGAGCAGGCCCCTCTGGCTACCCCTGGGCTGCACTAACACAAGCACTGCAGTTTCTCTGCCCACCTGACGCAGACAACAACATTTTCCATGGCTCTGCCCTTTCTGGTGGAGAGTATGTTCCAGAAAGGGGCACACCAGGGAATGGGGGCGGAGAAGAAGTCAAACTCAGAGTGTGTTTGCGGGAATGATGTGGGGTGGAGGCTGGGCCAACCTGCTTCCCCCGCGGGTCCCCGGGGCGGGGCAGCAGAAGGGGGAACGCTGCTTCCCCGGGACCCCGCCGCCCCGCCGACAGACATCCCGCCCCTCGCCCTCCCTCCCGCCGCCCGAGAAGGCCAACTCCGCCCGCCTGAGTCACGGCTGGGGCCGGGGAGGAGCCGGGGAAGGCGGCCCCAGCGCAGAGCTCAGTCGGCGGCGGGCGGGCGCGGGAGAGCAGGCCGGGGACCATGGGGGAGAGCGCGCTGGAGCCGGGCTCGGCGCCCCGCGCGCCGGCGGAGGGCCCGGTGCACGCGGTGACCGTGGTGACGCTGCTGGAGAAGCTGGCGGCCATGCTGGAGGCGCTGCGGGAGCGGCAGGGGGGCCTGGCGCAGAGGCAGGGCGGCCTGGCCGGCTCGGTGAGTCGCATCCAGAGCGGCCTGGGCGCGCTCAGCCGCAGCCACGACGCCACGAGCCACACGCTGGCGCAGCTGCTGGCCAAGGCGGAGCGCGTGGGCTCGCACGCCGATGCCGCCCAGGAGCGCGCCGTGCACCGCGCCGCCCAGGTGCAGCGGCTGGAGGCCAACCACGGGCTGCTGGTGGCGCGCGGGAAGCTCCACGTCCTGCTCTTCAAGGTCAGTGACCCCGGGCGTCCCCCGATCCAAGGCCTCGTCCCGCCTCCGGGGACACCGTCTGGGGGGACGGGGGTGGGGGTCCCCTCCGTTCCCATCCGCCCGCCACACCCACATTCCTGGCCCTGTCCCGGGAACGGACTTCCAGAGCCGCACCCGCTCCCCACACCCAGCCCGCTCCCCCTTCTTCCCCCGGCCCGCCCACGCCTGGACCCGTCTGGCCAATCAAAACCCGGCCAGCTCCTAGTCAGGACACGTCCACGGAATTTGCTCCAAGCCTCACCCCATCCCTGAGAGAAAATAACGGTGGTGGAGGTGCATCGCCCCTCCTCCAGTTCTTTTTTTTTTTTTTTAATATATATATATATCTTATTAAATTTTTACAGAGAGAAAGAGAGAGGGATAGAGAGTTAGAAACATAGATGAGAGAGAAACATCGACCAGCTGCCTCCTGCACACCCCCCACTGGGGATGTGCCCGCAACCAAGGTACAGGCCCTTGACGGGATGGAACCCGGGACCTTTCAATCCGCAGACCGAGGCTCCATCCACTGAGCCAAGGTTTCAGCCTTCCTCCAGTTCTTGTCCCTGCGGCCACTCTCCTCCTCTCAGGGTCCCCAAGCGGGTCCCACCTATTGAACAAACTTCTGCAGGTCGCGTCTCCCCCCCCCCCCCCCCCCACTTTCCCACGCTTGCCTTTTCTTTCTTTCCCATTGGGGCAGTGGAGGGTAATGGGGAAGGGGTCGGGCTCCGCTGCTGTAATCGAGGGGGCGAGGCTCAGGCTGGTGCGGGGCGGGGGCTGCCGGGGTCAGTGCTGTGTCCATCACCTGCAGGAGGAGGCCGAGATCCCACCCAGAGCCTTCCAGAAGGCGCCGGAGCCCCTAGGCCCGCTGGAGCAGCCTGAGCCCACCGCGGAGCAGCTGGAGGCTGAGGCTGGGGAGAGCTCGGATGAGGAGCCTGTGGAGTCCCGGGCGCGGCGGCTGCGGCGCACGGGTCTGGAGAAGGTACAGAGCCTGCGAAGGGCCCTTTCGGGCAGGAAAGCCCCAGCGGCGCCCACGCCGGCCAAGCCTCCCCGCCTCGGGCCCGGCGGTGGACGGATCGAGAATGGCCAACAACCCGAAGAAGAAGCCCTGCCCGCGCTGGAGTCCAAGCTGGAGCCAGAACCTCCTACACAGGACGCCGAGCAAGATCCCGGGAGGCCTGGGGCTGCCCAGCTGGCTGTGCTCCAAATAGAGAGTGCGGCCTGATGGCTGGCGCGCCTGCTCCCCTGAGCCTAAGCCTAGTCCCAGAATAAATCTTCCTCTCGCGGAAGGCAGGCAGCATTCACGCCCAAATAAGGAGTGAATCCTGCGTCCACAGCCCAGCTTTGGTCCTTCCTCCCGGGATCCTCCAGCTCAGCACCCTGGGTCCTGGGAGCAGCCACTTGTACTCGCATCAATAAAAGCAATGTTACCTAATCCAGGCTTCATGGGAAGGGGTGGGGGTGGGAGTGGCGTGGGAATAAGACAAACGTGGGAACCAGGAATGTGGCTTCTGTTTCAAATCGTTGTATGATTTCTCTGTTTCCACTGAATCCGAGGCTCCACTCCCGGGGCCCATGCGAATACCCTGCTCCTTAGGTGCTTCCTCATGGGGACACACCCTGTCCAGTCCCTTGCTATAGGTTCTCAATACATGTCACTTTGTGGCTGTGCTCTTAGTGTCTTCTTCCTCGACCACCTCCTCAGAGTTGGGTTTCCCAGGATTCTGTCCTCAGCATTCTTCTCATTCTGGGTTACCCCTCAGTTAACATTCACTTCTACCAGCCACAATCCCCCCCCCCCCCCCCCCACCACTGCCTTGAGCTGAAAAGTACTGCAAATTCAATGTGCTCAACCTATCTTCTACCTTGCCATTAAGCCCAATTTCAGGTCTGCAGCTATTTTTGAACACTTACTATCTATTGTTCAAAATTGCTCTTCCTCTTGTGTTTCCTTTGCTTATGAATGGCGCCGTCATCCACACGGAAATCTGGCAGCCCTCTGACAAGTCCCTCTCACACTCCCCTACCACATGGAAACAGTTACTCTATTGCTTTGACCTCTGCAATCTGTCCACTTTTCTTTTTAATATATTTTATTGATTTTTTACAGAGAGGAAGAGAGAGGGATAGAGAGTTAGAAACATCAATGAGAAATATCGACCAGCTGCCTCCTGCATACCCCCCACCGGGGATGTGCCCGCAACCAAGTACATGCCCTTGGCCGGAATCGAACCCGGGACCTTTCAGTACGCAGACCGATGCTCTATCCATTGAGCCAAACCAGTTTCAGCCACTTTTCTTTTTTAAAAAAATGTATCTTTGTTGCTTTCAGAGAGGAAGGGAGAAGGAAGGAGAGAGATAGAAACTTCAATAATGAGGGAGAATCCTTGATCAGCAGCCTCCTGCGCGCCCCATACATACTGGGGATCGAACCTGCAATCCCAGGCATGTGCCCTGACTGGGTATTGAACCATGATCTCCTGGTTCATAGGTAGATACTCACCACTTGAGTTATGCGGGTCGAGCTGTCCACTTTTCTTAACACGTGGCCACTGTTCCATCTCAGGCCTTCCCTTTCACCTGACATTCACATTATGTGAATTGCCAGTCTGATCCTATCACTCTCCTAATTCAGACCCTTCAATGGTTCCCCATCACCTTAATAAAGTCCAACCTCTTTTTTTAAATTATATATATTTTATTGATTTTTTACAGAGAGGAAGAGAGAGGGATAGTTAGAAACATCAATGAGAGAGAATCATCGATCGGCTGCCTCTTGCACAACCCCTACTGGAGATGTGCCAGCAACCAAGGTACATGCCCTTGACCGGAATCGAACCTGGGACCTTTCAGACCACAGGCGAACACTCTATCCACTGAGCCAAACCGGTTTTGGCAGGTCCAAGCTCTTTAACATTACCTCAAATATTTTCATAAAGCCTTTCTGTAGCCTCACTTCTTGCTACTTCCCTTAATTCTACTAAATTGCACTAAGCAATGTATTCCAACTCTCCTCTCTACTGTCCTGCAAAACTGAGCAAGCTACCCCTGTCTCAGGGCCAGCGGCTTCTCTTCCTCAGCACCACCTGTGCACCTCAGTGCTACTTGCACAATCCTGGTTATTAGCAATTTCTCTCCCAGTCCCATGCCACTAGATTGGCTCCTTTCCAGTAGGGGCCGTTTTATTCATTTCTGTATTTTTCACACCAAATACTATGCTTAGCACCCAGCAGGGCCTCGTAAAGCAAGAACATTTTAAAGAAGTGAGAAGCAGGAGGGATTGGCTATGGGTGAGAGCATGGTCATCCACTCATTCATCAGTCCTTGGCTATGAAAATGTTTTCTAGTCTCTACCTGTGTTCCAGGTTCTATTCTAGGACTTGTGAACATGACAACCCTTTCTGAGTCTGTCAAGGATCTCAGAGTTTAGGGAAATACAAACATAATTACTAGAGGCCTGGTGCACGAATCTGTGCACCAGTGGTGTCCCTTGGCTTGGCCTGCGGGATCAGGACGAAATCAGCTCTCTGACATCCCTCAAGGGGTCCCGGATTGCAAGAGGGCACAGGCCAGACCAAGGGACCCCACTAATGCACAATCAGGGGCAGAGAGGAATGAAGGAGGTTGGCCAGCCTGGGAGGGACCATGGGAGTACTCCAAGGCATGTCTGGCCCATCTTGTTCAGTCCTGATCAGCCAGATCCCAGCAGCAAGCTCACTTACCAGAGGGTCTTCCCCTTGGTGGTCAGTGCATATCATAGCAACTGGTTGACCAATCAACTGTCTGCCTCCAGGTGCATGTCATAGTGAGAGGTTGATCATCCTTAGCATATCATTAGCATATTGTGCTTTGATTGGTTGGACAGCCAACCGGATGACCAGACACAGCATATTAGGCTTTTATTATATAGGATATTATATAGGATGATGAATGATGTAAGTGAAATGTTAGACACAGGTTATTTTGAGAGGAAAGAGACACAACCTAACCTGAAGGAGGAAAAGCGGATGATGTTTAAGGAAGTGCTCTTGGAAGAAGGTAAGTAGTGGGATGGGTGGAAAACAGGAATGGCGAAGGGCAGTAGAACTCAGTGGTTAATAGTTTCTCAGCTCCATCTATAAACTGGAATAATGGTAACCCTTACTGGGCTGATGTGAGCATTACAGGATATAAGTGCCTTGCACAGTGCTAATTAATTTTAGCTGTATCATTCATCCACTCATTCCACAAATATTTACTAGCTTTATAAGTATTCAACGTGTATGTACACATTTTTAGGGACACCCTATATTTTCTTCTTTATACTTTTTCCCCTTAGTTTCCAAATCAAGTTATTATTGTGGTGAGTGCTTTTATAAATAGGAAAACATACATATAAAAAATGGTAAGCAACAGTAAGTAATATATTTTATTGATTTTTGTACAGAGAGGAAGAGAGAGAGAGTTAGAAACATCAATGAGAAAGAGTCATCGATCAGCTGCCTCTTGCACACCCCCTACTGGGGACATGCCCGCAACCAAGGTACATGCCCTTGACCAGAATAGAACCTGGGACCCTTCAGTCCCCAAGCCGACGCTCTATCCATTGATCCAAACCGGTCCCGGCAGCAACAGTAAATATAAATCCAAGTAAAGAAGAGCTTCAGAAATGAAGATGGATTTATGAGTGTAGAGACAGTAAGACTGAGGCAATTCCATGCTGACATATATAAAATATAAAGAATTGAAGAGACTCAATTTAGTAAGAATGTCTTATTTGATTTATAGAGAATGCTGTTCTGTGAATTTATTTTTCCAGCATCCAAATCAGGTACTTTCAGGTTGTGCTGAGAAGAAAACAAGTGTGGAAAATAGATAATGTGTGGTTTGAGCCTGAGTCTCTGCAGGCAAAGTGTCCATAATGGAGGGTTTCTGCATTCCAGCTGAGCAAGCTCCTCTCCATCTCGTAAGCACATATTGGAAAGTGAAACTGCAGGCGTCTGAGTTACTGATAGGAAGCTAACACTAAATAAGGAGGTGACGGTGTGGAGGTGGTGAGTGGTGGTGGCGTGAATATTACCATGGGCGCTGGCTTTGAAGGCATAACTATTTAGGCTGCGCTGTGTATCTACAAACTCGGGATGTGACCCAAATAGACAGAATCCAGAGATAGGCATTGCCACTGGGGAAACTAAGGCAAGATGGCCATACCCTACGTAATATACTCTCCCGCTTTTAAAGCAGCATCCCAGAAAGTACACTTGCCACCTTCCACTTCAATTCCTTTTATCCCCGTTCCGTTGAGTTGGATAAACAGCAGGCCATAAGACTGGGGTGGCGCTCATGCTGTGGAGGCCTATGTAAGCAACCCAAAATCTAAGCCTGTGAGTGCCTCAAGGTTATAAAATTGAAACCTAAGGACAGCCAATTACAAACAGCCAATTAAGCTTTGAGCTTTAGCCAATCAATTTTTACTTTTTTTTGCTTCCACACTTTCTCTAAGTCTTTCCAATGAGCTGCAAGGTTGGAATGGAAAAATGCTCAAATAAACTTTTAATTTTTCAAACATGCCTCTGTTTATTGTTCCACACTTCTGTGAACCATATACATCTCCATTGTCTCAATTCCTAGTGCTTAAATAGTTTATCTCCTCCCTCTCAGTCACCTCATGCATAATTTAGTCAACAAATCTTGGAGAAGCTAGATATTCAGCATTCCACAAATCTTTTTTATGTTTCATGTCACTGTTCTTGTTTAAAATCTTATTGCCTCTCATGTAGGCTCCTGAAATCATCTCTTAAATGTCCTTACTCAAATCTGTTTGATATACAGTATCCAGTTGGTCCAAACATTACTTTTGATTTTCTCAAAAACTTGTGACTGCCTCTTCCTCTTAGCCAAAGTAGTATATATTTTTTTAAATACATATTTTTAAATGTATTTTATTGATTTTTTTGCAGAGAGGAAGAGAGAGGGATAGTTAAAAACATCGATGAGAGAGAAACATTGATCAGCTGCCTCCTGCACACCCTCTACTGGGGATGTGCCCGCAACCAAGGTACATGCCCTTGACCGGAATTGAACCCCAAATCTTTTAGGCCGCAGGCTGATGTTCTATCCACTGAGCCAAACCGGTTTCAGCCAAAGTAGTATATTCTTGTGTGACATTATATTATGTATAAAAATGTAATTATATGAGAATATAATTAGCCTATCTAATAAAAAAGTAATATGCAATTGACCATC